CACATTCCAGATGCAATCGTTTGACTGTGCTTCTATTTTTTAGAAGCACAGTCTTATTTAGATGGGAAAATGCCAGGGCCCGATACTGTTCTCCCGTTCGAAGCCTCTTCCAGGATACAAGCATCCAAAGAGTTGTTTGCAGCTTTTTGAAGAATGAATTTTCTTTAAATTCTATGGTTGAACATAGCTAAGAGTACAGCACTAACACACCAGCAGAATAACTCTCATCTCACCCAACATGGGCACTGTATGAGGGTGGGCCAACTTGGTCCTGATTAAAAGTGTGTGCTTAAAAAAAGTTGATTTGTATTTTTACGTGCCATTTCTGCCAGTTAATGTGATCACTTTCAATGCAAACACAATTTGGGTTAAATGTATCTGTCCTTTTCAACCAACATCCTGAATTTATTCAGATTTTGATGTGAAGTCCAAAACCCAAGAAAGGCAGACTGAATGCTGATTTGTATGAGCGCTACACAGCTGTCATGGTGAGGGATGAGGTACAGCAGCTTCAAAACAACTAAACCAGGAAGTGTCCATTAAACGCCAGCTCAAAGAATTTGGTAAACCTTTTGGCAGACATGAATGTGTTCCTATAAACCCTCTACAACAACCAGATATGTTATCGCTTGTCTCATACGTGCATTTTACTTTCCTGCAGTTCCAAATAACATGTAGTATTCTATCTATTTTATTCCCACATTTGTTTTCCAGCAATATCAGGTTTCAATTTTAAATATAGTTTTTATAAATTCCAAAGAGTATAAATTTAATCTCAAGTTATCCATGAAACTACTGGCATCTGACCTGAGAAAGAGATAAGAGGAAACTAAATGTGGAGTCGCCTTCATACTGGCATTCTTCCACCGGCAGAAGGCAGGAACGTCTGCCACCGTAAATGTTTTACGAGACAAAGGAGAACCTCTATCTGGGACACATGCAAACCCCGGGGCTGCTGCGCTGCTAAAGAATATTTTTTAAAGCACATTCACTGACATATTTCTGTTAGATCTATTCCTTTTAATGTCAAAGGCCTTCAGGAAAGTCAGACGCAGTTGGAACTATGGAGCACATCTTCTTTCAGCTAAGCTGAGAACTTTCAACAGTTCACAAACTTCAAAGTATTTTTGCTAGGATTTTATATGACAGACCAACAAAAGTAGCACATAATGTTAAAACAGACCTAAAAAGGACAATAGTTTTTCATAACAATCTAAAAAGTGCGGCATGTTTTTTTATTTACTCCTTTAACTTCAATGCCTCTGAATACACCAAACTCTCAACTCATGAACTACACAAATTTAGCATTGATCAGTGTGGAAAGGAGAGGGCTGCTAAATATAAAGGCGCTCTGATGATGCGTAATATGAGGAAATGGCTCCATGTGGAAGAGACATGATGGCGGTAAGAATATGGAGTGCCAATGCATTTATTTAGCAATTTGCGCCCGATTTGTATTCTAAAAATTTTTATTTTTTAACTTTTATTTTTAAAGGATCATGCATCAGCAAAATATAATTTATAATTACTTACATAGTTTTTTAAGGTGTTGAGTTTACCTCCTAGCCCCATTAAAATCATTACATAGTATTTGCTGTCAATCAAGAAATGTTACCTTTCTTTGACCAGGGAGCAAAATAAAAAATACATTTCCAAACGTAGAATATGCTGTGCAAAATCAGTCAATACAATCTCGAAAAATTGTATTGAAAGCTGAACATTTCTTTACATCTGTGTTTTTAATCAGGTTTGAGACCTTAAAAACCTTTTCTTTACTTCAAGCATAAGTAAAGTCACAGATTTCAGTTGAAAGCCTGGATGTTCTAAGACCCTTTCTATTTAATTTGACTTAGATCAAGCATTGCAAAAAAAAAAAAAAAAGTAACAATTTTCACACTAACTGATCCATCTGGCAGCAGAAGCTGCTCAGCTAAATTGCGTCCGTGTGCTTTTGTGCCATGAACCTCCAGGTGCATTTCAATCACCATACCGTCATCAGTAAATTTCATTTTTGGAGCTATAGAGCTGTTGCAAAGATTAATGTATTTTAAAACTTATGTTCTGATTATGAAATGAAAATCCATTATAAATGTTTCAGAATTTTGAACATTAATCTTCAGATGTATAAAGCTGGAGCCATGCCTCAAACTACTTGCAGCAGTTTAGAAAAAGCACTTTAGATTTGTAAAATTCTCTGAATGTCATTTAATCCAACTTCACAAATATATGCACACATAATCGTTTACCCTAAATATTCATATAATAATGACTTAAGTTTATGCTTAATGTTTTTAGGAAGTAAAACAACTTATAGGTTTCTGTACAGGCTGCCTTTAAACAGGCGAGACTTTTTACTTGTTTGGTCTTTTTAAAAGTGATTTGGGTCACACTGGGCCTCTCTTCTCCTGCTGATAATTAAAGAAAAAGAAATACAATTCAATTACAGAGATGGGTCAGTCCAGGTACTTAAACTGTACTGTCCTTTCATGTGGAAAAAAAAGGTGCAACCAAAGCCTGCTTTTAGTCAGCATTTTTCAAAGACGAAACACTTTTCATTTATACGATGTGAAAAGGTGTAGACTCTCGGCTTTATATAGTAATTGCCAATTTCTATTTTATTTTGAAACCTCTAGTAAACAGTTAACATCCTCAAGTTGGGTGTGCAGCCTTTGAATAAAAGGGTTCATTACGGTTGGTGAACGTTCATGACCTACCTGCCCTCCTCACTAAAACAAGGTGTAAACTGTATAATTTGTCTTAAGATAAGCTCTCATATTAATGGTTAAGGAAGGGGGGGGTTGCATGTTTGCTTCTGGATGAAGTCAATGCAATGCATTAAGCCAATGTTATACAACTCAGCCCCACCTCCACATCAGTTCAGCTCATATTTCCGCACAGTGCCGTCCATCACTAGGTCAAACAGCATGTTCCCTGGTGATGAAGCCAGCTTTAAGCTGAAACGGACTCTGACCCCAATACATGTCCAGGTTGTGCCCAGAGGAAATATCAGACACAACCAAGTTGAATTCATTATGCTCATTTACTCAGGAGCCACAGCCAATCACGTGCAGTTCTGTGGAATACATTGATTGGCTTCAACACCAAGCTGGCTAGTGATCTATTGTACATAAAAAGTGCTTTGAGGGAAACAAAGCTAATGGAATAATAGGCCCATATAACTCCCATAATAGCCTAGCGGTATAAAACCTCAGAAGTCAGACACTGAACTTTTTCATATGCCATTGAGAATATTGTAATATATGTCGACAGTTAAAACAATATTTGATTGTGATGTAGAAAAATAAATGTCTGAACAGTGTGGCATGTATCCTTTAAAAGCAGTTGCTAGGGTTTTTTTTTTTTTTTTGGTTGGATATTAAAAATAAATGTTTTGACACTTTTAAATACGTTTTTTGAAACATGTAACATTAAACAGGATGTAGGGATGTTCACTGAAGTATGGCTCATAATAAAAGATGCAAACTATTAATAACTTTCTGAAAATGGAAAACCCTGATAAAGTATTTGTCCACTGCAAAAAATCTAAATCGAGACAAGACATTTTTTCTTAAAATAAGTGCAAAAGAGAC